TTTGTTGCCATGTTTTGTAGGAGGGGTTATACCAAGCACTTTGGTTAGCCGTGTTTTGCAAAACACTGGCAAAGCTTGTGTTGTCTTCAAAGCAGTAAAGCATTTCCTAGTGAAATCTGTCAAACTAAAAAATACCTTTTATACTGCTGGTACGTTACCATACGAGAAAAATAATGCCCCATGAAGCAATTTTTAAAAGCAGCTGTCTGATGAAATACATCCAGAATTTGTCATATGGATTGCCTTTGTTTAATTTAAAAAATTGCAATCTCTGAATTCTGTTGAAGTCAAAAATAGTGATTTTTTTTTGCAGTATAAAAATAGAATATTGAAATTAATTATGGGTGTCTAAATTATCGATATCTATAAGTAGTTACTGCAATTTAATTTTTTTCTTTAAAGATACTATTAATTTGTATACAGAAAATAGTGTTGCGGTACCGGAAGTCTGGAAAGTTGTTCCAAAAAAAAAAAACCCAAACAAAACCCCTCTCTATACACCAGCCACATGTAAATGTCATGGCACGTGGCTTTTGCAATATAATATTTCAGGAGCAGTAACAGCTGCCTAAGCTAGATTAGAGAAAGTCTACAAAAGCATAAAGATGTTGCAAATTTTAAATTGCATATATAGAGGTGCAATCTTGATGTTTGAGGAACTATAGTATATTTTACCTTCTTAAAAAAAAAAAATTAATGTTGGAGTTGAGTGACTGGGATTTTCCACGTTTATATTGCTAATATCTAAACAAGTTAGAGATTCTAGCCTCTTTTTAATGCTTTCATGGAAACGAGTTAGATCTCAGTAAGTATTCTACTTAATAACAAAGATGATGCTTTTTTGTAAAATAATAAAAATAGTGTTATTACCGGTAATTAAAACATAATGAAAGTAAACTGTGTGCCCAGGAAACTATATTAGCCTTTCCAAAAATAGCCATACTGTGGTATAGATATTGAATTGGAAATTTAATCTTAGTGTTCTGAATAGAAGAAATGGTGAGTGGCATGTTGAAATCTGTTCTTTGAATAAATAATGTGGTTATGTAATGTGCTGACTGATGTGGGATCAACAACTTCTTAATGTTAGAAACAGTCAACTGTAAATGTCTTACTACATGCACATTGAACTCTTAACAGTGTATTTGAGTCTTAAATATGTAGGGGGAGAGGACAAAAAATGTCTGAAAAGGAGAACTGGGAACATACCTTTTTGTTAGCATTAATAGTTTAAGTCTTTACTAATGATTTGAATCAGTTCATATGTCAAAAATAAGTATTATTCCTTTGTCTCCGTGAGAACTTTGAATGCATGCTCTGGTACTTAACTGCTTTTACACAGAAATCACTCTGTGCACAGAGACTTAAAATTATGCAGTGAAAAAAATCACAATATCTCAGATGTTTTATGATAAATGTTTCTGTTAATTCTTTAGTTTCTCAGCATTTTTTCTCTATCCATTATCTCGTTCTTTATAGAGCAAAGCAGTTATTAGTAACCTGTAACTTCATAATAATTTAAAGGGCAAATAAGTGTCTGGATTTCCCTTTCCACTTTTGAAAAATCAGGGAAACTTAATTTGAAATGAGTGAGAGTATCTAGGAAGAAAACCTGGCACATGGTGCAGCAGTAGTTTATGCCAAGATATTTTGATGAGAAATATTATACGAGGAAATCTATTTTCTCAAGAACAGATTGTTATAGAGCAGCTTATTCTTGTGTTCTGGATTTGCTAAATATCTTAGTTGAATTATATTTATTTGCTTGGTGTGGAAGGAAGGCATGCTGCGAATGTGACTAAAAGGAGTTTGCGCAACACCTAAGTAGGGCACCAGTCAGTTCTATAAAAAAAGATAACAAAATTCAGATTTTAAAAGATCCAGGGTTATTGTTTATTGTGGGAAACTATACATAGCTTTTATTTCAGTTGCTAATAATAGATGATGTACCTTTCTCAGGGCGTTGTGGCGAAATCCTGTTTCTGCAGTAGCTGAAACCGGTGGTGATATTTCTGTTTATTTTAGAAGGCCAGGATCAGTGCCTAAAATAGCAGTTTGCCTTGTGGCTTTTTATATTAGAAAGGGTATGGTTATATGGTTTAAATACAGTTAACTGTAACCTTCTGTGAGTATCAGCTGCATTATTCTCATCTTCCCACTGTATCATGTTAATTGTTAATTATTTGCTAGCTAAAAGAATGGGTTTTGAACCTTGTAATTTTAAATGAAAATATGCAAGAGCATTAATACTATTCCTAATGGAATGAGAAGTGTGCAAGTTAGTATAGAAAAATGGAGAAATGGTGAAAGTTCCCTAACAATATATGAAATAATCACTGTTCTCCAAAAGATGATGAGTTTGTTAACATTGTTCAGTGTTCCAAGTCTAATTAAAGTTCTGGTACAGAATTCCTAATGGAATGAGAAGTGTGCAAGTTAGTATAGAAAAATGGAGAAATGGTGAAAGTTCCCTAACAATATATGAAATAATCACTGTTCTCCAAAAGATGATGAGTTTGTTAACGTTGTTCAGTGTTTCAAGTCTAATTAAAGTTCTGGTACAGATCTGACCTTACATGTTAGTAATCTCCATTTCTTCCCTTAATTTCAGGGAGTTATTGGCATAAGGACTGTGTGTGGTGAAAATCTGAACCGGATTTTTTTTTCTATTTTTATTCAAGTTGGTGTGGTTGTGCAGATACAGTACATATGAACACATTATGCTCAGTAGAACCGTGCCTTCCAGAATGCATGTTATCCTTAGGGTGAAAGATACCTATACCCACCATAGGCTGATAGTAAAGTAAGAACTAGAGTAAGTATCTGCTATAAGGTTACAGAGGTACAGAGATAAAAAGATTATTTTTCCATCTGGACTTTTGAGATAAACAGATTTAGTAGCGTCTGAATCATGTAGTAACATGTGTGAGTAAATATATATAGGAAACCAATAGATTAAAAAAGGAAGTATGGTTAATACTGGATGCAGTGAATGTCCTGAACAATGAATAAATGTGGTTGATGAGACTTGACTGAATACACTAGTAGTATTTGTCACATGACAGATAAATTGGCGATAGGATTCTGATTTGGGCTTGCTGATTTTTTTTTCCCTAAGTAGTTACTGTATTTGCAAAATTTATTTTCAAAAAAAATTATGCTCTACAGTTGAAGTCCTTCCTGTTAAACACAAAGTAGCAAGGTTTCTTTTTATCTGAAAATTATTAAAACAAGTAGCTATTACTGGGCTTGATAATCAAAAAATAGTAATAACACAGAACTCTGATTCCCGCTGGTTAAAAATGAGGTTTATTTCATAAATGAAGTATCAAAACCAATACTGAAACACTTCAATTTAAAAAAAAAAAATTGACCAAAATAAAAGCCATTGAAAGACTTCACCACCATGGTACAATTAATTTAAAATAGACCATGTTGTTGGGGGGAAAGGGAGTTGTAATTCTGCGGGGGGGGGGAACGCACACAAAAAAACAAGCCTAGTTTGTCACAATATGTACATCCCTGGCTTTAGAAAAGAAAGCAAATTAAGTCTTGAGTAATTATAATAATTAGGGATGGGGAACGCACACAAAAAAACAAGCCTAGTTTGTCACAATATGTACATCCCTGGCTTTAGAAAAGAAAGCAAATTAAGTCTTGAGTAATTATAATAATTACAGGATCAAATGAACACAAGGTTCAGGCTGTATGGTATCTTAGTCCTCGAGTTCTCCTCCGAATTTGTCCCTGATGTATTTCCTTGCTGAGCGTAGTAAGATTCTCTTGTCCCTGGCAGCACTTTGTATCCTTGGCTCTGTTGCGGTCTTTCGTCGAGGAAGACCGTGCTCCTCCTGGGGATGTTCTTTGATAGTGGGCATCAGTGTAGCTGCACCATCACAAGCTTTGCAGTAGACAGCAAAAGCTACCATTTGCGTTGCTTCGGTTTATCCCCGTTGTCCTTTCTTTGTCAGCGCTAGTGACAGTGAAGCCGAAACCAGCTGTTGAGGCCAATACCTATATAGAAAAGGTCTGAAATACTCAGGTTTTTTATGCTTCCTTTGTCTTAAGTTTACGTGGTTCTCAGATGAAAACTTGCATTTTTCAATCCTTATCCTGCAGATAAACATGCAGACAGGTTTATTCACGTGCTTAGTTGTGCTGGCAACAATGGGGAGACTGTCACGCGTACGCTTTACTAAACTGGATTCTTATTTGACGTCTTTGAAAAGCCAATTTGAATCTATTCTGTGACAATTAGTTTCACGTTGCAAGACAGAATCACTTCTTAAAATTCCCGTCTGCACCTATGCCTGATAAGCCATTCTCCAGTCAGACCTTTTTGATTCTAGTGAATATCGAAAGATCTTTGTATCTCTGAAGCTTGCAGATCCAGGGCTTTATTATTTAAAGGGGTGTCAGTTCACTAGTGAAAAATATAACTGGAGAATATAGGTCATCATCACCGGAACCAGGAAATGGTATGTCTTGGGATACCATGAGTTTATTAATTCAAGGCAATCCAAATGACGACACTTTGCAGGTTGACTGTGCCTGGTTAATGTTGTTGTCATTGCACTCTGTGATACAGTTATTAAATAGGTAAAATATTTTACCTTTTCATATAGAGCCATACACTTACTTCATCTGTTTTAATGGAACTGTAATTTTAATTATGATTATTACCTTAAATTATAATTAAATTTATGTGGTTTAAATATACATTTGTGAAAATGGTTGTGTGATGAAAGCAGAAATCAGCTTCGCATTAACAAAAAAAGGTTTTTTTTTTTTTTAACTGCATCTTCGTATATGCTCACAGCCAAAGACTAGCATGACCTACTTTGCAACAATAACAGAGGAATCAAGCTGGGTTTTTTTGTTGAAGTATCTAAATTGGCCATGAATGCTACCTACTCATTCGTTTGTAAGTATCTTTAAAAATAGCAATTGTATCTATGAAACTTCAGGCTTTTTTTTTCCCTCCTTTTATTTTTATTTAGATAATTAGCACCATGGAGCCTCAGGTGTCGAATGGCCCTACTTCCAATACAACCAATGGACCCTCCAGCAACAGTAGAAACTGCCCTTCCCCTATGCAGACGGGGGCTGCTACGGATGACAGCAAAACCAACCTCATAGTCAACTACTTACCCCAGAATATGACGCAGGAGGAGTTCAGGAGTCTCTTTGGGAGCATTGGTGAAATAGAATCCTGCAAACTCGTGAGAGACAAAATTACAGGTAAGCTCTTGTGTATTGTCAACCTTTACGTACGACAGGATAAGTTTACATTTAGGGACAGCCGAACCTTTGCGCTCGTATTGTAGGTGCTTAGCATGGGGAATGCCACAAATACTGTGATAAACTTCTGATGGTAAACCTTTAGTTTTCAGTGATACACATTGGATCTAGAACTGTAGGAGGAGCCACTTGTCTTTAGCCTACATACAGACCTAAGGGAGGAACGAATGTTACAGTCTGCATGTGTGTATAACACATTTGGTGCGCAGCTTCTTATAATAGAGCTCAGATGATGACATTCCTTTCCTGATCATTCTTTTTGTATTTAACATTGACTTATTTGTAGGAGGATAGCCTAAACTGCTTGGACTAACTGACCACTCTTAATTCAGACCATTTCTTTCGAACTCTACCATACCTTCATCAAATTTTTGACTATAAACAAACCATCAAAATCAAGGTGGATCTGCATGCCCATCACAGTTTGTTTACCATGGCTTTCTGGAGCAGCGATGGTCTGTGGCCAGGAGCCACTGATCTGAATTTCATGGAGACTTTTGTGGTTATTGGGTAATGATTATAGCTTTGTTCCCTGAAAGCTCTTTACTTTGCCATAATCCTTTTCCTAACAAAGTGGCGCCTGCTGATAGAACCGTGCCTTCAAAGTAAGAAAAGACTCCCGTTAGAGGTGATGCCTCAAAAAAAGAGAGATACATGTCTGCACCATCGCTAATGGAGGTGTGGGCAGATACAGATAAGCCTTGCCTACTCTGTATCCTTGCTGCTGGAGCCATGAATTCGCTGATGCACAGAATGCAAAAGAAGACAGTGCGATGAACAATCAGTTTTTATAGCTTGTTTTATAGGTTAGTTTTATAGGTTGTGTGTCTACTCGCACTGTAGGTGGGGAACAGCTGAAATTTCTCTGCTGTTTTGTGCATCACCAATGTTGTTATGTTTAGCACAGTGCAACAGTCTTGGGAAGGAAAGGGTTCCAAAACAGGAGCTGTCTTTTCTGTCAGATGCACTGTTGGCAACTTGGGCATGCATTGTATGAAAAGAGATACTATGTAAATATGAGGATTTTGAAATATAAATCCTCATACCTCCTTCTGTAGCAGCCTGGCAGCCATTGTATTGGCAGCATTAGGATGATCTATTTAGTGCTTTGAAACATGCAATATTTCTTTTTTTATTTACTGTCTCGCATGCAGCAATGTTCAAGTTTAACATGAGGCACATAAAAAGTGGCAGTAGTCCCAGGGCAGTTCAAATCCTCAGAAGTGTAGTTCAGCTGAATTTTCTTTTGCACATTGACTATGATGTGTCTGTTTCAGTATATATTCTGATTCGGACACAGCTTCAGAAGTACGAAATAAAAAATTTTAAAATGGATTTTTATTAATTTATCTTTTTGTTTTTTTAAAAGGTAAAAATAAATAACAAAAAAACAAATCACTCATACCCTCTTCCAACCTCCAAAATCTCAATCCAAAGAACTAAAGTCCTCTGCTTTTGTAAGCATAGCTGGGCCGATGTCCCAGTATGACATACCTCCCTTGATATCTCCTACCAGTCAGTCAGCTCCAGACTGCTGTTTTTCTTTTCAGTCTGAAAATAATCTTGAGAAATTAAATAACTGAAGTAACCTGTAATTTAAAACAGAACTGAATAGCTAAGATAGCTTTTAAATCAAGCTCTGCAAGATTCTAGAGTGTCTAGCTTGAATTTCGATCTTGACAGGTTCTGTGTTTCAGAGATGGGGTTTTTTTGGCTTCCTATACACCTAAAGTTTATGGTGATTTCCTTGAAATATAATCTCAAGATTTTAGATGTTGTGTGTGTTCTTTTTATAGAAAGTTGGCAGCCTTTGGAGGGAGAACCATTACTTCATCTCTTAGAACGAAACAAAGAGAATGCTGTTCATATCTCAAGGCTTTTGTCCCTCTATTTGAGGAGGCGAGAAATTGGCTATATGATCTTTGACATGTTCTTGGGTAGTTTTCTGCCTTTGCTGCTTTTTTTTTTTTTTGGTATAGAGTGCATAAGTCTTTATAATCAGTAAAATTCTTCGTAGCAACCATTCTTTAAAAAAATTACACAGACACTGTGAGAACATCAGCCCCAAATGACTTAGTAGTCTGCATGTTGTTTTTTAAAGAGGCACAAGTACATAAGCAGCAAATTCTCAACAAAATTGAATTGCCATCCAAAGTCTCTGTACCATTTTTGAAAACAATTTAATCTGCTAAGGCTTCAGGAGTGCTATTCAGGTATTCTGCATCACTGTTAACTTTTAGGCTACGTTTTCATGCTTCACATTAAATTCAGAGTTACGTTAGTTAAATACAGTCCTCAGTCAGAACCAGTTAATACTTTTTAAATGTTCTTGGCCCATTCTTATCAAACAGAAATGTACCAAGGTCATATCTAATCATCTTTCCGGATCATATTGTGTGTGTGGTTTTACGCTGTTTTTATTTGTTTGTATTTTGGTTTTTACTTTTTTATCATTAAGTTACAATGTGAATTTTTTTTACAGTGAAACTGTATTGCAGAATAAATAGTAATTTCTTAAGATACTCTTGCTGAAATGGTGGGGATGTCTGAAACAATTTGGTTTGTTTTCTGTCTGCTTTTGGATTTCTCATTGTTTTAGTTCAAAACTCTTGTGCAATTTTAATAAATCTCAGCTGAGTATACACTGTACTATGCATTTAAACAAACCCCGCAGCATTTTCCCTTAAAAATATGGGTCTTCATAGACAATAAGCTGGCTTCTCCTTTTTCCTGGTAAGATAAAACATTAGGTAAAACAAGGAGACCCAAATTAAAAAGTTATCTGTAAAAATAAGTTGCTTCCAAAAAAAAAAAAAAGTTCATACACCACACGAGCATATAAAATAGTTAGCCTGGCTAAACCATATTTAAAAGATCTCAAATGCATTTCTGAGGCTAGTTAGGATTTAATTGATTCATGTAAAAGACTCAGTTTCCCCTGTCCTGTTAGGAAGTGCACAGATTTTTATGAAATAACGTTTAGGTTCCGACAATACTTCTTCCAAGGAGTTCAAAGCTAAACAAAGTCTGTTAAACATGAAAAATCCCCATGAGAGAATTTACAATCTAGATTTTTTTTATCATACCAACAATAGTCATCTACTCAGTGTTTTGGTAGGTCTCTTAGAACAGCAATAGGACCTTTTTTTTTTTTTGAAATTGATTTGTGATGTTACCCCTTGCTTTGGAAAGACACATGCTTAAACAAGCATATTCCTTTACTTTAAACAAAAAAAAAATGCTAATTTGGTAGTACACCGTACAGAGTTGAATAGGAATGACAGCTTCTAAGACAGCCTTTAATTTGGTTTTCAAAACCAAAATTGTAAACTTCGATTTTGTTTGGTAGCTTCTCAGAACAGGCAGGATATACAGTAGCATTTTTAAGAGATGCTAATGACTTGAAAGAGAAGATAAACCTCGAGCATACATTTTAATTATGGGGGAGGGGTTGCGATAGAAAAAATGTTATTTTTCACTGCAGAGATTTTAAGGGAATGAGACAAGGCAAAACAGAGCGACTGAAAATACTTGCCTTCATTTGGCAGGGGTGTTTAATAAAAGCAGAACTTGTGGTTGTAAAGTGTGCTTATTAAATTCTTCATTTACACTACCTAATTAATTCTAGCATTTTAAATTAACAGTGAAACTGGTCCCTGCTGTACCATTTCATAGCTACAGCATATTTCGTCCAACAACCCAGTTGCTCAGGTTTAATCAGCTGCTCTCAAAAAACGAGAAGAAGGAACCTGAGTTTAAAAAAAAAAAAAAAAAAGCTAAATGGCATAAACTAAATTTTAGAGTGTAAGATGACAGGAGATGACTTTATGGAGGAAGACTACAGCTTTAGATGGATGTGAGGCCTGATGCTTACAAGTGAGGTTAAACTGCGTGGCATTGCAGATGCAAGCTATTATTTATTCTGTCCAAAAAATGCTAGTGATAAATCTCTTATTGACTTAACCAGGGGAAGGGAAGGACTTGAATTCATCAGAGAATGTTAAGAGAAGAAACACTGAATTTGTTTTGTCCCGTGCTCTGAAAACAAAAGGTCCAGTCAGCATAGTGTCTGTGAGAGACATTGTAATTGCTGCTGGCCAAGTGAGTTGTCCTTGTTGACTTAATTTGGGGGTGGGGGTCGGAATGGGGGTGTTTTGTTTTTTAGTTTTTTTTTTTTTAGCTGACTTGATGGCCTGAGCTGAGCTCTTAAGAGTTATATCTTTATATTTAAAGAGGAGTTCATCTCTCCATCTTCAAATGATCAGTTTCTGTTTCTCAGATCTCTGGATCTCAGATAATTTTTCATATCTTACAATGATCCAGGCACACTGTGAAGTAGAATATTTATTGATACAGGATTTCTGTGCATCTCAGCTTTGGCATATTCCGGCTGCGTGATGCAAGCCAATGTTCTTTACGCGCATAATCAGGAGCTTCACTGTCCCTCTGCCCATAAAGCAACCCTATTTTAAATTGTTCCTTTTGAATTTACAATTCCTTTAAGATTAGTGTACATCTGTAATCTATCGTTTCAGATAATTATAATAGGACCAATGCAGACTTAAATTAAGATTGCAGTTAAGAGCTAAAGATGACATTATAAGTGTGATATAAACATAAATGATTCCAATGAAAAGGAGTATGGCTGAACCACTGACTTGAAGCATAAGCATCTGTGTGTTGTCACATGTTAGGGGAGAAAAAAAGTGTTGCCCATATTACAAGTAGTCCTGCCTAGAAGTTATGGATTATCAAGTCCTCCCTCTTTATATCTTCAACCATTTGATCCAAGAAACAAAAGCTAACAAAATGGCAGAATCGGAGATAGTGCAGCATTATGAGAGCGTGCAGAAAAAAAATCTTTGATGCGATCAGCGTTCTACACGCTCACTTTTCCCATAAACACCATTAAATTCCTAACTAGCAGTGGGGGAAGCTCT